AAAAAAAAAAAAATCCTGTCCAGGCAATTAAGAGAGAATTAATACCAAACTCTTATGTGCTTCCAATTTGCAGCCAAGTTAGGGGGTGCTGTTTAAAACTTTCCTGACATAGGCAAATACTGCTGATTCCAAATCCCATTTAAATGTGCACCTCACAACTTTTACTGGTAGTAGCAGCCCCAGTGTAATAGAGGACTGAGGACTCAGGCTGGATTCATCTTATAGCGGGCTGAGCTTTTACTACGTGGGAGGATGAGGGCCACATAGATGCGCGCGACGAGGATTCTGCCCACGAGGCTCCCAGCCTGGCGGACAGTGTGTAAATCAGAACCCATCTGCGGCCCCTTTATATAGAGCACACGTAAGCGTGAGAACATGTTCAGCAGTCCCATGGCTACATTCCGCGAAGAGAACCACCCTCCGGATGCTTGACTTGCTATCCCACATAGAAGGCATAAGCCGTCCCTCATTTCCGGCTCAGAAGGTAAACAGGTGGCAGGACTGGCGCCTTTCATTGGGTCCTATCTTCCTACCCTCTCTGAACCTGGCTTCTGAGAAGTAGGTGACCGAGATAGATTCATTTGCTCAGTAACAAATGTTCAAGCAGTTGCTTACTTTCACGCACCGTTCCATCTCTGCACTTGACTTTCTATCTATCTCACCTTGCTCCTTCTCAGGCAAACTGTGTTTTCTTTGCCCGTGCTGCACATAGCTTTGTCCTTTGCTTGGGGGGGCAGTGGAGACCACAACTAGAAATGACCCAAAGTGGCCACAGGAAAGAGCTACTAACACATAGTGTCAGTCTTTATTTGCCCCTCTGCCCTATAAAGATTTTGTTTTACCCACTTTTGATTTGCTTTCCCCATCCTGAGAAAAATACAGTGTTGTCAAACTGGCTCACTTGTGCATCTGTGGAACAGAATCGAGGAAAGGAGATGGCCTGGGAACTGGCAGCAGTATTTTTCAAGTAGGGAAGGGCAGAAGATACATATTTATCTCTCTCTCTCTCTCTCTCTCTCTCTCTCTCTGTGTGTGTGTGTGTGTGTGTGTGTATATATATATATATATATATATATCCATATATATATTCCATACATATGGGAGAGGGGTGAGCAAACAAAATAAAGACTACATAATTCTATGCATTTTATATCCTCCTCCTAATGTTGGGGAAGGGTAAAAGCACTACATTTATAGAAATAACTTTTAGCTACAAGGTTGTTTCTATAATCACCACTAGCTTGGGCCAGTGGCTACAGTTTAGTACATTTACACTGTAACGTTATGGGACTGGATCTTGGAGGGCCAAATAGGTCCGGATGAGTTGGGAGGGAAGGGAGAATGTGACAGCATCACACTGATTCATGGGTTATTCAGGACCCGTGAGTGGAAGCCTCCATGATCCCACAACGCTTGAATTTGGCATAGCTGAAAAACCAGCACCATGTGGATGGCAAGGTATACCTCCAGCTCAAGAATAGCCAGTCCCCTATGACCATGACTGCAGCTTCCTCGGAGTGGCTAGATGGCTCAATTCAGGGATACACAACCCTGTGATAGGTGGGATCTGGCCATTTCCTAATATTCCCTCAAGGAATCTTTCCTACTGTCTTGATGCAAAGTCCTTGGCTCTTTAAAAATGTTAATCTTTTCAGCTTCTTCTTAGCCCCAACTTTGCAGCCCCAACTTTCCTTTCTGGCCAAGCTGCAAATTTTTCAAATCATTCTGCTCTGATGTTTCTGCTCCTGATTCTAACTACAGACCAGGCTAAAAGCAGTCAGCAATACCCATGTCACAGCCTGGATACTGGGCTACCTTGAAATGTCCTCCACCAGATAAATCAGTCCACTACCTTTAAATTCAGCCTCACATAAAATCTTAAGACATGGGCAAAAAGTAGACAAATTCTTTGCCAGCATGAAACAAATATGGCCTCTAGTCAAGTTTCCAACATAATCCTCATTCCTACTTGAACCCCAACCCCACCCCAAGCCTGGCCTTTACTGTCCACATTTCTATTAGCATTCTGGTCTCCTAAGCTCCACCAGAACCATTAATCAAGCTTGTCTTACAGAATTCTAGGGCTTCGCTAGCTAACATCTCCAAATTTATTTATTTAGTTTTTGGTACTGGGATCGAACTCAGTCCTTACAATTGTGAGACAGTCGCCAGAACCACTGAGCTGAATCCCCAGCCCCATCTCCAAATTTTTCCAAATTCCTCCCAAAAATCACTTCCTAAGGCTTCTAAATCACATGGTAATGAACAGTCACTTCAGTCACTCCACTTCTTTGGTACCAACTTTCTGTATGTCACTTCCCAGTCACTAGGGCAGAATACTTGATACCCACAACTTAAAGTTGTTTATTTCGACGGGTTCAGTCCATGGTCAGTTGGCTCCAAGGCACAATGGCATGGTAGAAGAAAGCTGCTCGATCCATAGCAGCCAGGAAGCAAAGAAGGGAGAATCTGGGGCCAAGAATACACCTTTCATCCCTAGTGAACCTCCCCCTTAAACCAGGCCCCAGTTCTGAAAACGACTCTTGGGTGACACTAGATTTAAACTGTAACAGTGACTAATCCAGGCCATTGAAAGGCTGTTATTCTAAAGTTATGAAATGAATAAAGCATACAAAATATGCAAATTAGTAAACATAAATGTAATAATTGATGTTAGGACATCTGTTCTACCATATTTACATTCATTGGGCACACAAAAAACTTGACTCAATCTGGCAAAAGCAGGAAGGCTGGTGGTATAATTCAATGGTAAACTATCTGTCTAGCATCAGTCAGGGCATGGGTTCCATCCCTAACAATGAAAAAAACAAAACAACACAGTAACTATAATGTATATATATTAGCTTATGTACATTAAAAGAGCAGCAGTAGGAAGGAATTCAGGATAGGCTGGATCCAGCATCATCACAAGGCTGGCTGCTCATGTGGCCATTGGAAGACTAAAGACTAGAGCTATATGCTTACTTATCAAGAGAATGAGACAAAACTAGGAGACAAAAACCTTGAGCTTCAGTGTAATTAGATTACCCCAATCACAAGCCTATCAATCACTGGTAAATGGAAAGACTTACGCTGATTGGTTTAGGCTGATAAAAAATCTTCCTCAAGTGCTAGAGCATGTAGGTCACCCCCTCACTCCTCTCCGAGTCTCAGGATAGGCTAATGATGAAGAGGGCTGGAACGATGTTGCTGAAGCAATCACAATGTTCACTGTAACAATCACAAATACTATAGGGGACAGCTTTTAAGTATGAGCCTATTTTACAAGATGGGAAATGTCCCATGTTGGCAGAATAAGGCTAAATTACATGGATTTGCTATTTTTGCCTTTTTCCCACAACCACTTCAATTGCTGTTCTAGGAAAGAAATTCAGAGACAAGGCACTGGAGGGGAGATACGGCTCAGTGGTAGAGTGCTTGCTTAGAGTGCATCAGGCCCTGAGCCTAGTCCATCACGTAGTATAGACAGAGCTGGTACAGTGGCACACCTCTGTAATTTCAGCTATGCAGAAAGCGGAGGCAACAGGGTGGTAAATTCAAGGCTGACCTGGGCAACTTAGCAAGACCTAGTCTCAAAATTTATAAAATGAGCTGGGGGTGTAGGTCAGTGTTAAGAGCATTTGCCCAGCATGTGCAAAGCCCTGGGTTCAGTTGCCACACTCAGAGCCTCCGTGTAGGACAGGCCTCTCCCAATACCTTGTAAGTCCATTTTCCTTTCTTCAGTCTTTAGAAGGAGCAGACAAACGCAAGTGCACTCCACTCCGTATCTCAGGCATACCTATCACCTGCTTCTAGAAAACTCAGAATTTTATGGAGAATCTACAAGGTACAAAAGATGTAAGAATGGATAAAATGGTACTGACCCTGAGAATCTTAAATCTTTCAGAGGAACAAAATCTGTGGATGTCATAAAATACTGTGTAAACTTGCATGCCTCAAATGTGCTGTAGAACATGGTGGGGTAGCATCTGGACTTATAGAAGACTTCTCAGAAATGAATAGAACCTGGCCTACAGTCTGAAGACCCTCTAAGATTTCAAAAAATGACAGGAGGGAGGGACACATTCCAAACAGGTGGTGTAGTACAGGAGGAAACGAATGGGGCACAGCCCAAATCCCAGAATTCTGGGAGGTTAAGGCAGATCACAAGTTTGAACCCAGCCTGGGCCACTTAACAAGACACTGTCTAAAAATTAAAAAGGGCTGGGAACATAGCTCAGGGTGAAGGCTCTGGGTTTAATTCCTAGCACCACAAAAAGTGGGGGTGGTGGGTACAGTAAGTACCCAACTTACAGACATTAGAGTTGTGAACTTTCATAGGTGTAATGTATAAGGCTCACTTTGTCAGCTTACAAACAGGTCTGACTTACACATAATTCTTCCAGAACAGAACTCGTTCTTAAATTGGGGACTTACTGTACTGGAGATAAAAGTACAGTACTAATGAAGAAAAAAAAAATCCTAAAATATGATCATTGGGACCTACAAAATACTCTGTGTCTCACTAATTTTCTAACATAAGCAAGGAACAGTGCCAGGTATGGTGATGTAAACCTGTAACCCCAGCAATTCACATCTAGGACACAATCACGAAACTATTTTTAGTTTTCTAGGAAGGCAATATATATGTATTTTTTTGGTACTGGGGATCAGTACCTGCAAGGCAGGCAGGAGAACCACTGAGCTAAATCGCCGGCCCCAGGCAACACAGTTTTAAGGTACACCACTCCTGACTATTTCAATTCTAAGATACGTTTTTTTCTGTATTTCAGTATTCCTAAAGTCAGAAAATGTAAAAATTTTGCACAATGAAATAGTATTTCTTTTGTCGCCCTGGCCAGCTATAAAATCAATGGTGCATTCTTTTTTTCTTTTTGAGACAGGGGGTCTTACTATGTTGCCCAAACTGGCTTCAAACTCCGGTGTGTTGTGCCCAGAGGTAACAGGCACCACTGCCCTGCTGTCTGTGGCTGGCACTGGAAACTCAGCACCAGTAATGAATTAAAAGCAGAGTTTAAAATAAAGGAAGATTTACTTGAAGGGGTGGGGTGGGACAGATAGCTACTCTGAAGAGTAGGGGCACTGTGGGTTTTGTCCTCAGGTTCCTTTTATCAGGATGAGTGACCCCTACCCTCTGTGGGGCCCTGGACTGTCACAATCTGCTGGCTCTCTGGCTGTCTTTCCACTCAGGCACCTTTGCCTGCGTTTCTTCTGGCCGTTTGATTCCTTCCTGCCCTTCTGTGATAGATAAGCAGTTTAGTCAGTCACCTAATGCAGTGAGTGTCCCGAGACTGTATGTATGTGTAACTGTGGAGGTGGGGTCTCTTCATAAACTAGAGTTTTTAGGTGGCTGCCCCTTGTCTCCTTTGCATTTTATTGGAGGTGGGTAAGGGGGGCTGGTTACTCTGATCTTTCATGCTTCTGGCTTCATCCATGCTTTGATTGTCAACTCTTCCTAATAAATTCTTATGTTAACTGCATTACCTGGCAACTTTTCAGGTCTGGTTTCTCTCCTTACCTTTGTCTTTTTTATTTTGGTACCAGGGATGGAACTCAGGACCTTGCACTTGCAAGGCAGTACCTTTGTCTTTCTAATCACTGGAATCTAACTACAGAAGCAAAAGCTGCTTTTAGTAAGATTTTCTATTCATTTTTTAATAAGGCCCTTATTTTATTCTTTCCCTGCCTACAGACCCCCTTTCCCTACAAAAGGATCTTTCTGCCTCAGCCTCCCAAGTAGCTGGGCATGGGCCACAGTGTCCAGATTCAACAGTATATTTTACAATTGATGTTATTTTAAAATCAAAGAATGTAGAGATAAAAATAACCACTGGAGCTGGGGGTGTTCGTATATGCCTGTAATCTCAGCACTGTGGGAGGCTGAGGCAGGAGGATCACCAGTATGAGCTCAGAATAGGCAATCTGGTAATGCAAGAACCTGTCTCAAAACTGATGAATGAATGAATGGGATGTAGCTCAGGGCCAAGGCCCTAGGTTCAATTCCTAGTCCTGTGCAAAGAAAAAAAGACAAAAACACCCAAAACAACCGTGGCTATGAAGACTCAAGTTTTCAGTAGTCATGGTCCATCAGATAACTGAGTTTTAAAGAAGAATTCAATAGATTTCACCAGGATGGGGTAAACACTATAAGTTAGGCACTGTTTCTTTCCAGGCTTGAATCAGACGTGATTGATACCCAATTGGGTCCAAGGTGGTTTGGCCAACAGACTCCAGGCTTGAATCAGAGAGAACTCACAGTGATCTTATGAAGTTCCCTACCCCTAAGCACCTCCAGGCCTGCCTCTCCAATCATCACAGCAACCCACGGAACACAGGGGACACGAAGGGGCTGGGGTGCAGCTCCATGGCAGAGCCTTTGTCTGACATGTGCATGGCCCGAGGTTCATCCCAACCACCAAAAAAAAAAGACACAAAAATCAAACAGTGGGAAAAGAAACATTTTCTTCATTTTTGATTTTTGTTTTGTTTTTTTGTTTTTCGTGGTACCAGGGATTGAATTCGCAACCTTGGGGTTGTGAGGCAGGCAGCAGAACCACTGAGCTAAATCCCCGGCCCCATTTTTTTATTTTTAAGACTCAAGAGTTTACTTCACCTTTGATGTCACCAGATGTACACCATGGCCCTGCTGATCTGGGCCATCCTTCAGTATTCTGTGTCATTTTCTGATTTTTATTACAAGCCTCAGAGCTTAATTAATCTTTTGATATTGCCTAATATACAACACACCCCTAATTATCTGGCCCATGTGTTCTGGATCACATTATCAAATAGCCCCAGCTCACCTGAAATTTAAATGCCAGATAGGGGGCAACACTCGCAGAGCTCCAGCTAACCCCAAGCAGAAAGACACCTCCACGTTGGCTCTACAGCAGTTGTTTGGGAACAAGAGAAAGCTATTATGCAAATTCAAGTCCTTCAAAACTATTCAGTCCTAAGGAGACAAGGTCAGCTACCTGGCAGAGAAACGGGAGGTACAGGGCTTGTCTTGGAATTCAAACCACTCTGTTTGGTGCTGTGCTCCTGACCAAGAGGCCTGGGCCAGTGTTTCCCTGCCAACAGGACTCACCAGCCAGGACACAGAAGAGCTAGGAGCCAGGCAGTGCATCTCATTTAGATCCAAACAGACCTGAGTGTAGCTGTGATGCACTCTCATCACAGCAGTGGAGAAACGGGGCTTCTAGACAAGAAGTGAGTTGGCCAAGGCAATGCGGCCACGACTTGTTTGTCAGGACAGAATTTCAGACACTATCCTGCTTCTGTCACCAACTCATTTTTACAGACGAAATTACAGCATGGATTTGAAGATAACGGAGCAAGTCCTAACTTGCTGTCTCATCCATCCGACATTTAGGGATTCTATACAAGCAAGAGGGCAACGGCAATAAGAACTGCAAAAATAAATATTTAATATAATATAACTACAATTTATCTATCTTTAGAGGGCCTTTGTAAAAATTCTTTCCACTGCCTTTAGATTCAATCTAGGAAGAATTGTTGATTGTAGTCTTTGAAGGCAAGAGGGGTTTAAAGCATTGCTTAGTATTTAACAAAATGTCTTCGTATCTAAAATTAACATATTTTTGTGTTCAATGTGAACAAACTTCATAGGTTGCCATTTTCGTTTTCTTCTGACATTGCAAATGAAAGTGCTATCTATGCCCATTTTTCAGACAAAAGAAGCCAAGGTAGTAAGACTGGGACAGACTTAAGGAGAATGATAAAAAGCCTGCAGAAAGAGCTGGTAAACCAGCTGATGAAGAAAATTCCCACTCTCTAGAGAGGCAGAGGAGGGGACTACAAATGAGCAAATGCCACCTGCCTGTTGCTGAGCTTAGGAAGGGGCACCACCTAGGAAAGCAACTGACTTTAAGTCCAGCGTGGCACTTGCAGAAAATGGCATCAAAGGTTGGACTATAAATCTTCCTTATTCTCAAGTCACTGGACATTTAAGAGCAGAGATATTGATGGGCTCTTTCCCTCTTCTTCTTTTTCCTTGTAACAGATGTATGATTCATGGATTGTCCTTTAGTGGTCTCCATTTTCATCTTACTACGTTTTCTTTGCTTCTGGTTTCTGACAGCTCTGAAAAATAAGGTGCTAAATTATTTTATAGAATAAGCACAGTGAATTATGTAATTATGTTGAAGTTTAATTAACTAGCTAACCAAATAAGAAAATAAAAGAGAAAGAATTTACTGTACTGTAAGCACAAATCTTCAGTATCATAACCATAACAAGGAAATAGAGGCCTGACTAAGCAAAATGTTTGAGAAAAGACATTTCTATAAAAGAAGGTTGATTTAGAACAAAGTATTTGGGACAAACACACCACAGAGGTAAAAAACCACACCAATGGTTTTGCTTCAGGCTCTGTTTTTTTTGGCAGGGGAGTGGTGGGCAGTGCTGGATCTCCACTGCTCCATTAGGCACATCAATCTCCAAACCCCAAATCACATCATGTGTATAGGGCAGGAATAATATAGGCGACAGTTGGCAAAGGTCGTTAAAATGAAATAATTAAAAGAAAAAACCCCACCAAAAATCAAACAAACAAAAAATCCCACCTGACCACAATTGAAAGGGCCCAGTTTATAAGCCCCGTAGCTAATCATCCTTTTCCCCTGCAGATCTAAGGGTCCTGACAAGTGCCACACAGAATGTCTATCGTTTGTGGTTCCTATTTTCTTGAAGCCCAGCTTCAAAATGAACAGGCTGAAAGCCCTCGCCCTCTAAAATCACTACACTGACATCAAACAGATGTGAGATCCCTTTTTCTGGTGTTCGCTGAACTGAGTTACAGATGCGCCTATGATGGGAAAGACACTGACTGCTCCACTCGTTCACGGGCTCCAAGCAGGCAGTCACGTCACTGACTGTGATGTGAAGAGCGGGATGGCACACGTGGGCACCTCCACGGCTCCCCATAAGCCAACAAGCCGGCCCTTCCCGTCTTCCCAGGTCAGAGCTGGGAGCTGAGCTTCCTTAACAGCATGTGATCCTTTCCTGGGCCAGACACGGCCCCACTTCCGGTTCACTCCGCATAGTGCTAGGCCTTGGGAACACAGAAATGACTTAAAGGAGGTGGGACACTGAGCACAAATGCCCCCACCAGCTGTTTTTTTGGGTAAAGAAAGTTAGGTTCTGTACCATGATCATCCAGGGAGAAAGTAGCCAGGCCAGCTTGATGTGAGAACCTAGGCTTTTAATCACTCCAATACTATGTACTCGATTGTTAGTGCTTTAGGTATGCAAAATGCAAGCATATAGCAGTCATTCAATAAATATTGGCTATTACTAGTAGCTTCATATAATCACCATGCAGAATTTTATTTGCCAACTTTACACTACACTTTTCTGTACTTAGACTTTGCACTGGGGCTTGGGATAACCTGTAAAATAAAACTGTTATCTTTACACTATGTTGTACTTTTTATGTAAACTTCTTCCTTTCACCGCTTTTTTTTTTGTTGTTGTTTAAACCGGAGATCGAACTCAGGACCTTGTGCTTGCAAGGCAGGCAGCGGCACCACTGAGCTAAATCCCCAGCCCCTCAGCCTTTTTAAAAAGTAGGACAGAGCCTGGGATTTGGCTCAATGGTGCCGCTGCCTGCCTCGCAAGTGCAAGGGCCCAAGTTCCATCCCCAGTACCAAAATAAATAAATAAATAAATACGTAGGTAGGATAACTTCCTGGTAAGTAATGACTTAGCAAATTTAACAAAGTAAAGTATAATCTCTAATAGGAAAATCAATGAATCCATGTATACTTGTATACGAAATTTAAATTTCATTTCAGTTCATTCACTCATAAGCAGGACTAAAAGTGAGTCCGATTTCACTTGGGGATAGGTCAACAAAAACAGAAGGAAAATATTTAAAGATATTCATTTGTAATGTGAATAAACAAAACTTTCCAGAGAGAAAGTCTTTGAACTCTGATGAATTGATTGAATATAAATCACTGACTGTTTTATTTTGTCTTACAATTAAATTGACCTAGTGTTTGCCCTCTAAAGGGTAGGATTTATATAACTGGTAAAGTGAGCTTTCACCACAAGAGGGAGCTAGCATCATTCCAGTCCACACCTAAAGGAAAATTACAACGAAGGGAAAAACAAAAATATAAGACAGCTGTAAAAAGCATGATATTGAAAGATCTTTCATACTATGTATGCTAAGAGGCTATTAAAATTATTCTTTAGTATTATAAAGAAAAAATAATCTTGCCTTATCAATATCATCAAAATGTTTTTTAAAGCACTAACTTAACAGGAAGAAAGTAATGCTGTTTACATTACCAAATATACCACATCTTAAAAGATTTTTCTATTGGAATTAAAACTGATAAAATCTGAGCCAGGTGTGGTGACCCATGCCTGTAATCCTAGCACTTGCGAGGCTGAGGCAGAAAAGACCTCAAATTAGGACCATCTTGGGCTTCACAGCAGGATCCTATCCCCAAAAGCACGCAAACAAAACCTGATAGAATCTAACACTGAAAGACACTAGACGATTTCCTCTAAAGAAAACAATATGTCATTACCAAACAGACCAGCTATTTAGTAAGCCATGAAGAGGCTACCAAATGCAACTTTAGTGTCCCTGTGTCTTATCACAGAACTAGAGGCTGAGCTTATTACTAACTCCTGTTTTCCCCCAAAATGACACTGTAAATAACACAACTATCCTAGACCAGTAAGTCTATTAGGTTGTACTCTATTTTTGAAGATTTCTAAGGAAAAATATAAATATAAATAAGACTTTTCATTTAATTTTTATAATTCCACTTCTATATTCAATTACTTAGTGTAAATAATTAATTTATGAAAGTGACAGATTAGTAGGCAGAATTCAAGTGGCTGGACTTTAATGAAAAAAAAATTTTTCCCGCTGGCCAAGAAAATAAATAAAAAATAACTGTAATTATAAAAAGTTACTAGACTTTAATATCAATCTGTGTTTTTTTAATCCCAAATCATGTGATGGTTCAACATTTTTATCCTAATCTCAATTTCTTTGTAACATGAAATCTGCCTGTCTGGTAATCCGCAAATAATCCCTTCCTCCTCTATGTGAATAATAAATAATAATGACAGTCCATGTCTCCATCCTTCAAGGGCTGTGTACTTTTGTAGACACAGGAAAAGTCTTTTTGTTGTTGTTTTGTTTTTGAGACAGGGTCTCACTATGTAGTTGAGACTGACCTGGAACTCACTATGTAGCCCAGGCTGGTCTCGAACTCACAGCATCCTCCTGCCTCAGTGCTGGGATTACAGGCTTGCGCCACCACACCTGGCTCTGAGAAAGGCTTTTTAAAAAGCAAATAAAAGAATTCAACTCACCTGGCTTTCTTTGGGGTGCCAATGTTAGAGCAGGAACTGCGTTTGTGGCCCAATTCACCACAGATAAAGCAGCCGTCTTTGGGGCCCTCACAAGAATGATCTGCAACAGTACATCGACTGCAAATGCTACAGTGGATCCAGGCTGTAAAATAAAAATTAAATTTTAAAAGATCATTTAGTACCATTTTTCATTCTATTAACTTTTAAGGTAGGATGCATGAATCGTGTTTGCTTCAAACACCAGAGCTGGCTAATATAGCTAGTTTTAATTTTGCTACAGAGACCAAAGTGATTTATTTAGAGTCCCAGGTAAACCAATAACTCCATTCAGTTACAAGGCAACAAATCCAACCCTTCCCCCAAGACATCACATGCTGACACAGCCACTGTCACAACGCAGGCTGGCTGGGGGGCAGTGTCCTACTAAAATAGTCAAGTCAAGAGTCACACTGAAACCGATTAGCAGTGTTTCTCCTATGCAAGGCAGAACGTACATGCTGGTAAGAGTGAAAATTAGAAAGCAACAAGTTAATGCAAGGCTATACGTTAATTATTTTTCCTTTGTAAATGCAAATAAGTAAAAATCCTATTTAGATGAAGGAAAAACTTCAAACATGTTTTCACAGGATCTTAGCCAACTCTCAATACTTACAAGGCTTTACACACTTTTTGCAGAGAAAGCAGTGCTTCCATTTCCTGCCATCCTACAAAAATAATTTTAAATTATGTTTAATTTGTTATTAAAAATCAAGTTCTACAATTAAAAATTAAAATGTCTTATTAAAATCTATGTAAATTATTCATTCTTATCTCTCCCTTTCCTGAGCTTCACAATTAAATACTTTGATTTTAATTTATGCCTTTCTCCACTCAACTCAAATGCCTCCTTGATGGGCTTCAATTGCTGTACTGTGAAACGAGGAGATTAATCTAAATGATCTTGAAAATCCACTCCAGTTCAAGCAACCCAATGCACACAAAGGACTCAAATGAAAATTTCAAGGAATTAATGATTCCGAATTTTATGTGTCTATACTACACAATCCTTCATGAATTCGTGTTTGAGAGCTTTATGTAATTGAAGAAGAGAGATTACAGTTCCTCCTTGAGTAATTTAAAAACTGAACTAAAACACCTAGAAGAGCACAAAGAACACAGGACTCAGTACTGAAAATTACAAAGACGCACTGACGAAGTCACCAGGTGAAAAAGCAGACACCACCAGCCCTAGAAAGTCGCCTTCCCATCAGTGTCCTCCTTCCCATCAGTGACACTTATTCTGGTGTTTGTGACACTCTTTCCCTGCTTATTTATCTTTCACATCTACATATGTATCTCCAAAACTAAAGTTTTGTTTTCCTCAATTTTATATATTATACATTCTGGGAACACTATCGATTATTCCCAAACTAAATGGTAACATATACTGAAAAGTGTTGCTAGAGTAAAAACCAGTACAAATGATAATAAAACTATATAATCATGAAAAATGTGCTTTTTAAAATTTACATAAACATGGCCTTTTCTGTGGAGAACAAATTATGTCTAAAAGCCAAACTAAACGCCACATGTGCTCTCTGACTGGATTTCATTAAAATAAACAAAGCAACTTAAGGGTCATCCTATCTTCCTGAAAAATGAATAGGAGAAGTTTTACTTGTAATTGCCCAAGCTTGGAAGCAACCAAGATATGCTCCAGTAGGTGAATAGCTAAACAAAAACTGTGATCCATCCAGATAATGAATATCTTAACAAGAATGAGCTATGAAGCAAAAAAAAAAAAAAAGGACTAAGTGAAAGAAGCTAACCTGAAACAGACTCATACACACTGGGTATCCCAATCACATGACTTTCTGGAAAAGGCAAAGCTACACGGACAATCAGCGTTCGCTAGAGGGTAGAAAGGCAGTAAGCATGAACAGGCAGAGCAGAGTTTTAGGGAACACAAAAAACACTATGGCACTATGTAGTGGGTGCAAGTCCAGCAACACCAAGCGTGAACCTGAATGGAAACCAAGGACTCTGAGTGTTGACAATGTGTCCATGGAGGTCACCAACGGTAATGAATGTGGAGTCCAGCACAGTGTTCACGCAGGGGAGACAATGCAGGGGGAGGCGGGGAATCTCTGCACCTTCCCTCAACCTTGCTTGAACCTAAAACTGTTTCTATATCTAAAGTTTATTAGGAAAAAATAATAGCTAAATAAATAGGTTTGTCCCATTGAGTCCCTCCTCATCTGTGAAAAAGCAAGGAGTAACTGGATCTTACTTCACAAGGCTACTGTGAGGACTGAGTTAATCCACGTACAACGCTTAGCAAAGGGCCTGGCACACAAAAAAGCACATGGCACATATTATTAATTTTTACTTCATTAGAACAGTGATGGTATCTAAATAGTTCAATGCCTTATTTAAAACACAGTAATTTTACCCTCAATAGGGATATAAATTTAGCACTCATTTAGTGCCTTATTTGAAACACTCCTAATTTTAGCAGTCATACAGTACCACATGAAAATGAATTCAAGGAACTGTTGATGATGATGAAGGAAGCAAGCCCTTTAACAAGCCTGCTGTACTCTATAATTAGAAATAAAATACTGTTATATTAAAGTATATTTAGTGATGGTAATACATATTAACACAAACTGTAGTAGAAGAAAGTTTTAAAAAGTAGTGAGCACAAAAAAAAGTAGTGAGCACTAGTACACTAAAATATAACTAATATATTTAAAAATGCACTAGACAAGAAAGCTCTACCTTGGATGTGCAAGAATTACAGTGTTCACAGTGTTGATTTTCAAGAGAAACATACCGTTGACACAGAGGGCAAAATCTAAAGAGGAAAGACAGCAAAATCAGCAGCATATACAGTATTTATGGAGTCTAACAGAGCAGACACGTTTATAAGACACTTGTTCCAAAATCCAGATATAATCAGAATTCAACTCCATATGATATTATGGACTAAATTTAAAAATACTCGAACTAGATGATTCATATTGAAAGCACTTTACAGTTACATATATGTAACTGTATATTGGGTGACTTGTGAATTTCTAAGTCCTACTGTGATCTTACCTGTATCCTTCTTCAGTAGGAAGGATTATTTTGTTGGGTGGAATGTTGGTAAATATACGCACAGGAGACTGTTTTCGACCGGTCTTTCCATGTTTATAAAGTGCATGGTTATCATAATCTACCTAGAAAGTTAAAAAAAGTAAAAAGAAAATTTACTCAAGTAAGCCATTCACTAAGTGTCTTTAGCCAATAAATGAACATAATGGTTAATTTTGAGAAGCATGAGAGCCACCTAGGACATCTGTAGAGCACACATCTGGATATATAGAGGGGGTCGGGGGGGTAACCTTGGGGACTACATCTGATCCCCAGCCCCTTCCTCTCTGGTTTTCCTAGCTCACTTGCCTCCTGGCCGCCCTCAGCAGCTTTCTTCTGCCAGGCCCTTCCACGAAGTTTCTGCCTTAGAGCCAGAAGATCATGGACTGAAACCTCTGGAACCGTGAGCCAAAGTAAACCTCTGCTCTCCTTGAAGTTGTCCATCTCAGGGATTCTATCCCAGCAATGAAAAGTGACTAATATATTAAAGAAGCTGATGCCAAGATGCACATTAAATGAAAGTATTTAATAATAAACACTTAAAAGCAAGAGCTTACTTATTAATTAACAGACTCAGAGAAGCCTCTATGGCATGAAATTTCATATAAGAAAGGTACAAGTTGTTATGATAAATATGTGTTATCTGCTATCAAGGGAAGGCTTCTAATTTTCATCCAATACAACAGACCTTATAAGATACTCTATTACATAGTTAAGAATTTAGGTTTTAGGCGAGGCACAATGATGCATGTCCATAAGCCTAGCTACTCGGAGGATGAACCAGGAAGTTCACCAGGTTGAGGCCAATGTGGGCAACTTAATGAGTCTCTCAAAATATGAAATAAAAAAGGGGCAGGGTAGCCCCAGGTTCAATCCCCAGTACTACACACACACACACACACACACACACACACACACACACACACACACACACACACACACACACACACACACACACACACACACACACACACACACACACACACACACACACACACACACACACACACACACACACACACACACATGTAGGCGTTATCAGCATTTAAAATACACCCCGCCGATGTGTGTGAGCTTCGCTGAGACGCTCCTGTGTGTGTGAAGTGTGCCTTCAGCTCAACAGGTCTAATGCAGCCTCAGACTGGCTGTCCACTATGTGTCCTCTCTCATTCAGGCAGAGCACAGGGTTGGGGCCAGACTGTGGTGCTGCCACTCACTGGTTAGTGACCTTAAGCAAGTTTACATGTCTCACACCCGTACGAAGAGGCTGCTGGCTCCTACCTTAAGCTGCTGTGAGACTACATGGGACGATGTATGTAAGTCACCAAGTCCAGGCCCGGGGTATGGTAGGAAGTTGGAGAGGAGGGGTGCCCGCCCCCTGCAGTTGCACTCCTACAATGACTATTCCAACCTTCAAGATCCCTATCTCACCGTTTTAGCCCAGTATCTTGAAAGTACACTGGAGCTAATAGCCCAATCTCTATTAGCATCTTGCCCCCCTGCCCCATCCACACATTCTGTTTGGCTCTGGCTCTGCTAGGAACCCACCTGGCCACTAACTCCACCCTTAGATCAGCAACTCTCCGAGTGGGCTGGCAACACCAGCCTCACCTGGGATGTCAGAAATGCAGATCCTCCCCCCATCCCCTGGCCTCATCAATTTGAAACAGGCTGGCAGCATGTTAACATGGCCTCCTGGCACACTCAAGTTGGAGAACCACTGCTTTAGCTCATCCACAAGAATACCAGGAGCTGTGTGGGCTCACTCCACGCAGATCTCAACTTTCCAACGAGGAGGAATGACATGCTTCAGTTCTGAGCAAGAACCTAGAAGCTTACAACACAACTGGCCCGCAAGCTGGCTATTTAATAAGTGAAACCACAAAAATGTAAGAACCTGGGAGAGAGGTCTTTGATGGTGGATTCCCCAGTCTCTCCAAGGCGCCACTGGGTTTAATGTGAATACACACCAGATCTACTGGGGAACACACTGAGGAAGGCTGGGTCATAAGCTTCAGCTGTGGGGAACTACGCACTGGATGAGGGCCAGAGGACAGCACGCAGAGACACAGAGATTTCCAGCTGCACAGTGAGCGCACAGCCTGACTCCAAGGCAGAAGCTGCGGGCTCCCGGGCAGCTCTACGCACGCATGTGCACTGTCCCAGTCAGGAGGGCTCCTGCGAGACCACATTTGCACCCTGCAAATGTTCAGTCCCATTTTGAGAGAGACACCGATAAAACCAGCTCATCTCTACTGAAAATAATGGGAATGAATAGGATTTCCAGTGGAACAAATTGAGGATGTTTATTCAGAAAAGAGACGACTGGGAGGAACTGACAGCTATTTTATAACTGAAGGGGTGTCGAATAGAATAGAAATTGGGCTTATCCTTTATTGCCTCAAAGAACAGAACTAGGACCAATGGTTAGAAGTTAATGGGGAGCATATTTTATCTCAATATGAGAAAATTTTCTAACGATTAGAGCTATTAAATAAATTGAGTTGCCTTGTAAGGCTGTAGGACTCTGCTCACTGAAAGCATTGAAGTGAAGCTAGATGACGGCTTGTCATGAATTAGGCGGAGAGGATTATGACACTGGGAAGTTAGCCCAGGTTACCTGTTTCTTTCCAACTTTCAAAATCCTATGAACACCTACGAGAGACTAATACACAAAAATAGATTTTACTTCAAAATCACCTTGAAATAGTACCTTAAGTAGTTTTCTTTTAAAATGATTTAAATTCTTAATTTTTTGCTAATGTGCTCCTTTGAGTACTCAAATAACTACATGGACCCTTATTAAATTCAACAAAGATTTTGAATATAAATTTCTGAGTCTAAGGAAAAAAATTCTTCCCATGAGAGTCTTACAGAGATTTTTGTATGTTGGAAAATAATACTGTAGGAAGATTTCTAATACATGGAATATTCTATGCGATATTAAAGATAGCAGATGGGAGAGGGGAGGAGAACAATTTCTTTATGGTTACCCAAGGAGCCGAAGAATGTTATGTCACGAAGGTGGCTGATTGCTTGATTTTGCATAACCTAATAGAGATTATTATTATTTTTAAATGCGGGTTTGTTGTGCTAATTAACTATAAACATATGGTATGTAAAATGCATGCTGCTAGAGTCAATTAATGTACCTCTAACATACATCCGTATTTCATAGCTTCACCCACACAAATAAACCTCCTGTGGAAGTGCTGTAAAGCAAACACAATTTTGCAAATTGCATATCACCAGTGGTAGAGCTGATACACCATTTTCCCATCATTATCCCTGACATTTCACTCACAATGATGATGAGAGGCATTTTCAGATAGAAAATTTCTCCCAAGGAGCTGATTAATGTGATGAAGTACTGTATAGAAATGAGGGAAAGCACAAAATCTCTGCAATTCCTAACTTTTAATTTGATCTATACACAAACATTTTCTGTAGCATGAGACTGAAACCAGTCACTGGAAGAACTAAGATATCCAAGTCAGCAAATATGTTTTGTACCTACTATGTTCCAGGCATCGTGCCAGGGCACAAAGATTAAACGAGACTGAGCACTAGCACCTGACAGCTCTCTATGAACTGCGCTGTTGAATTTCAGTGCACACAAAGGGCCCAAGTGCTCCAACAACCAGCTTATCCCACATATCCTAGGTAACCTTTTATTTAAATTTCCCAGTTATTTCTTATTTAAACTCTTATCTTTTTCAAAACCCTCAATTTTAAGTTTAAAGAATTCTGGTTGCCATCTTTAATGTATTACACAATAATTTCCCATAAATGCCTATCCAAATATTTCCTTTTCTGACCATGGAACTAACCCTGAAAAAGTTCCCTATACAGGCTGATTTTTCAGCAGGATCGCTCAGACGAAAGCTCTACTTCCAACATTCTAGACAAGCAGTCCATGTTAAGCAGAAGCAACAGAGGACAGCGTGTTTAAGGGAGGAGAGCTGTATAGCTTCAGACGTGGTAACTACAGGACACGAAGGCCACCGCTCCCTGCCCCTGCGGCAGACACAACGGCCCAGTCACTTTCCTCTGCCTTTTTCCCCTAGGATTCTCAGTGAATTCACTAACATCACCACCAATTTCTCGGGCTTAGCACTAAGAGGGAAACTTGTCTGCCACCAGTCTCTTTCTGGTTTAGTCATTTTATTTTTAAAGGTAGGGAATGGAGTCTGGAAAGACTAAGTAAATTCCCCAAGATTAAACAGCTGCTAAAAGGCAGTGGTAAGACTCAAACAACTTCTGACTCTAAATCATAATTTCTTTTCATTATCGCATCTTCCCATTCTAATCTGGCCTTCGTAAAATTCATGGATTCTTAGGCCTCTGATAACTACTTTATTCTGTACTTTAGTGCTTTATCACTGAAGAGTCTACATAATTTATATTTTATGAAGATCTGCAGTATTTCTGCCTACTTTTTATTTGAAAAGTATTTTCAAAAAATAATTTCATGACTTTGGGTTTTTTTGTTTTTTGTTTTACTGCATTGTGGATGAGGGGCTTGATGTCAGGAAAAAAGCCTAATCAAGGACTACGGAAAAAGATCTGTGAAGGAGGAGAGGAGACTTTCAAATTTTTTCATTTGATGAAGGCTAACATCAAAGAAAACGGTAGAAAATGAAATTAAAGTAACAAAAGAAGGAAAGGGAAGAAAGCAAGGTTCAGAAAGGAATAATAACAACAACAGTCCAAAGACATTTTCAAAAAATAAAGAAGACAAAAATGATCAAGGGGAAGGACAGCAAATATGGCTAATAAGCATTCAGGAGCTGTAGTGGGACTGGTGAGTGCTAGCAGGCAGAACTGTTCTTACCTTTGAGAGGAATCAGGAAAAACAGGTTTGCTTTATTTTGAACATTTTTTCCCATTTTTCTTTTCAAAGGCTGGCTTTCATCATCAGGTACACACAGTCTACCAGAACACTTTTTCACCCATACAATGAATTGTGTAATTCCTTCCAAAAGGCTGGGCCTTGCAGTTATGGCTCCCAACCGTTCCTCCCACATAGTGCGCGACTGCAGGTGGCTGCTGGGCCTTAGCCTTGGCCTCTTCCGTGGACTGTGTAAGGCTCTGCCTTCTCTGCCCCTCACTCACCCTTTCACATCCTGGCACACAGTAAAAGTGCGTCCCTAGACAAGGACACAGCAGTCTTCCGAGGGACCCCGTGATATCTAACTTCAATGTCTCAGATGTTATACCAAGAAGGGGCCCGAGGAAATTTTGTCCCCATTCTGGGACTCTGAATGATAATGCCCTGTGTTGCATACTTGCATAGATTAAGCACATCATCTCATGAGACAGGTATTATTATTCTCATACTCACTTCACAGGTGAGAGCTTTATGGAGGTTAAACAATGGACCAGGACTGAAACCCATATTCTTTGCACTCTAGAGTTCATGCTCTTTTCCATTTAACTATGCACTTGACACACACACAGAGCACTTACTACGTGCCATGCACTGCACTAGTCACTGCCCCAGCAGTAGGTGCTGCTGGAAACTGGGGCCTTTCACTCAGCTAATGTCTTTAGAGGAGGTCAACTATCACTGTGTCACAGACATCAATTCTAGAAGTATCCGCAGACAAGAATCCAGAAAAATGGGATACCCTAAAAGGAGGGTGAAGAGCTCTGAGTGACGGTTATGCCTGAAACAGAGCTCAAGTCCAAGTGAAAATGGCTTGTGCTGCATGCCCTTAGAATGAAGCCTGCTAATATGGCTCAAAAGCCATAAAAATGTCCATTAAATTTAAGAAGGCAATCTCAGTTTTGGAAATCTATTTTAAGAAAGTTATGTAAACTGAGAAAATTATATGCAAAAGATTTATGGCAGTGTTATTCAAAGTACCTAAAATGTAGAAGCAAACTGTAGTCCAAAAAGAAGGGGATAATAAAACAGCCCCTTAGTGAAGTCAACTAACATTATTAAAAGCATAAGGATTATACAGGTACCTTTACAAAGCTGGGTGTAGTAGCACACACCTATAAGCTCAGCACTCAGAGGCCGAGACAGGAGATCCTGAGTTTGAGGCCGCCCTGGGCTACATGGGGAGTTCCAAGCCAGCATGGACTATAAAGCAAGACCATGTGTCAATCAGTCAGTCAGTCGGTCAATAAACGTACTCTTATAAAAATCCTAGAGAAGAAAGAATTCATAATTGTCTTCTGTGAGTATAAATACACAAAAAGTGCTTTTAAAACTGAACAGAAGTGACCTTGAGAGGTTCTGTACTGTGGGTGCATCAAAATAAAGCAGCGAAGAGTTACAAAAGTAAATAAAACTGAACAGAAGTGAATACTGTACTTAAAAATTATAATAAATGCGGGCCAGGGGTTTAGCTCAGTGGCACTGCACCTGCCTCATGAGCAGAAGGTTCTGAGTTCAATCCCCGGTACCAAAAAAATAAATAAATAAATATATATATATATATACATACACACACATATATATAATACTTCCTGTTTGCAGTAAAATCCCTTCATTTTTGGCAACACTGTTTCTTTCAAGACTTTGAAATAATTTTCATCACAGCATATGCCTTTACAAGACTAGAAAGATTAGGAACAAGCTGGGTGGGGTGGAAGATCCAAAATTCAAGCCCTGACTGGGCAATTTAGCGAGACCCTGTCTCAAAATTTATAAAGATTTTTAAACAGCTGGGAATGTAGCGCAATGTGAAGGCCCCAGGTTCAATCTCCAGAACATAAAAAATAAAAGCAGCTTAGAGCCAAAGTGCTAGTTTGGAAAAACTAGTGAAGCCATGTACAGTCCTACAGCTGAAAGACCGTAGTCAGGACAGCTGATCATACAGAACAGGAAAACGCCCCTACACAGAGGAGGGAGGCGGTGCTCACTTGGTCACACACAGAGAAGGTGACAAGGAAACGAGGACCTGAGGGGTGCCGGTGTAGACCCCCGCCTGTTCTCACTGAAGGCGTGGACACCCCCACAGGCTGCACCACCAGGAGGGGCCCACTCACTCCAGTGACTCCTGCTGGGTCAGGACTTGCACTCACAGCACCATCGGAACTTTCTCTGACGCCCCACAACCCAGGCACACCCCTCTTTAGAGTCCCTGGCATCTGCCGAGTGGCGCAGTGAGGTCCACCAACCAGTGACAGCGATGGCGTCCCATAACCGTGAGCAGGGAAGAGCGACACTGAGCTGAGGGTCCTGGCACTGCAGAGTCCCTGCTGCAGACCGTGTCAGCCAGTGTAATGCCTGGCCGTGCTTCTGAACCACCGGGGAAGCTTGGGAAAATGTCTTTGCTTTCGGCTTTATCCTCTGACTTTGATTTAGTAGGTTCGCTTTGGTGCTCAAAAATCTGCCTTTTGGGCCGGGGATTTAGCTCAGTGGTTCTGCCATCTATCTGCCTCACAACTGCAAGGACCCGAGTTCAATCCCCGGTACCAAAAATAAATAAATAAATAAGTATTTTTGAAAATTTACCTTTTTAAGGAGCCCTCTGATGGATTACAGACATTTAGTGACCACAAGCCCAAGCTATGTGTGGTGTAAGTTTAGCATTTAACACAGCTCGAAGTTATTTTAATTTACTAAAGTCAATGTCTTACCCAAATACTTAAGCACAACAGTCATTCGCCAAACACACCAGAAAACAGAATAGTTACTATACCTGGTAATCCAGCATGGAGAAGCTTGGAAAAAACTGACAAATTCTGGCCTCAAAAAAGTAGGGGAAAATCCAGAAAATGGGCATTTCTTGGTGACTGTCATCTAATGGATCACAAGAAAAAACAAAAGGAAAAGAAAGTAAAAAATTAATATTAAAGAAAAAAAAGAGCTTTAATTGAAAAATTTCTGGTATTGGTAGAAATTTCAGTCATCCAATACATCTACCTCTCATACAGAATGTGTACTGCCATTCCAATTTTTTTTTTTTTTTCCTCAGACCGGATCTCACTGTATAGTTTAGGAGGCTGGACTTGAACTCTCAGAGATCCTCCTGCCTCAGCCTCCCAAGTGCCGGGATTACCCACATCCAGCAGAAATGCTCTTTTATATCTAAAACGTTATACTTATCTACTTTGATTAGTGGTCTTAAGAACAGCAAACAAGAGAAAGACTTAATAAGATGAGTCATGTTTTAATTTGTATTTTGTTTGCATTCTATTCTCAAATCACACTTACACAGCAAAATTAATAGAGAAGCTTGATCATGTGACTCCTGACGCTCTCATAATTTATCAACTCACAAGCTAGAAGCTGTATCTAAAAAATGAGCAGACTGACTAATCAGATCATTACATAAAACACTAATGTCCTAAGCCACTTTTACTGTGTAATTATCCCCAGCCATTGGCCCACTCCCTGGCTGGAGCTGTAAGTCACTTCTGGCCAAGGGGACGTCAGAAGCTCCGCACAAATCTTGGCAGAGTGCAGGGCTCTGGGCCCACAGTTGGGTGCCCCCCGAGCTCTCGGCAAGACTTCGGGAACGGGATGGAGGGCACACAGGGCAGACACATGTATATTCTTGGTTCACTCATCTATTCCTAGCAGTGAACAGTACCCAGCGCATGGAGCCACTGCGAAAACATTCACAGAACAGATGAGAACAGTTTACTGCTCTTCTTTATTATATCCCATTGTCGAAACATGTCAAGCCTTTTAAAAACACATGATCAGGTTAACACAAAGTGTACCACGATAATGAAGTTGCCCCCTCGTCAAATAAGCTTGTTTTTGTTTCTTCCAAGACAAGCCATATTTTATCAGTCTATCTAGTGATCCACTGACCTTGGCCAAAGTGACAGGAAGCAGACACATAGATAGGTGTTTGTTCTGTCCTTAAATAAAGTTACACACCTTGGCCTTGACCTTCTTTCCACAGAGTGATTAACTTCTTGAATGTAATAGCCAGGGGTTCAACCAAGCCCCCGAAAGGAGGGTCTGTCACCATAATGACTCCTTCACCGCTCTCCTCCTGTAGAAATGCTCTGCACACTTCAAGGGCGGGCTGAAACAACACCAATCCATTTCTACATTAGCACACAGAGGCACCTGCCCTGTTTGGAGAACCATCAGATTCTCAGCCCTGGGAATTTCTCTCCTTGTCACCATTGCGCCTCACTGACACCCAAGGCTGAGTGAGATTTTATCTTTGGGTTCCTTGACAAGCAGGTTTTTAAACTGCAAATTCAAAGACCTTCGCTATCAGACAACTACACATTTCAAATGGTTACATTAAAAAACTAAATTCAGTAACCTAAAAGAGAAACTCATTACCCATGAAAACTATCTAAAGCATTCACCAAACAGGAGCAGGAACAGTGCTAAGCTCTGGGGACACAAAGAACAATACACAATTTTTTTCCTATCTAGCTCGTCCACCACCACGAGTTCAATTTAATAACAGCCGTAAATTACCTGTTAATTTGTTCTGAGGTATCAGGTAAGTGACAGATACATCTGAACACACACAGTAAGGAAATAAATGACAATTCACAAATGACAAAGTGTACATTAATTCATGAAATTGTGCTAGTAACACATTTCCCAACAAGCTGAAATAAGTGTTGCTGATTAACATTGCAAAGTTCGCATTAACTAGGACACTTAGCATTTTTTGCTTTAGGTGAAGGTAATGGGAGATACACTACCATCCTGTCCAGTCTACCAACTTAGAAGTAGTTTTCAAATATCATCTACAAAAGTAAACCATCACACTATATAAGAAGCACAGGTTTTTAATGTCTACTGCGCTTTAGACTTTAATAAGCCTATATGTACTTTATACTAAAACAGATGTTATTCTCGACTAAATCACTTTAGAAAACCAAACTGATGAGAGGGAAAACTATGAGACCTCACAGAGCCGGGCGTGGTGGCTCACGCCTGTAATCCCAGCACTCGGGAGGCTGAGGCAGGAGGATCACTGTGAGTTTGAGACCAGCCTGGGCTACATAGTGAGTTTCAGGTCAGTCTCAAGTACATAGCGAGACCCTGTCTCAAAAAACTAAAAAAAACAAAACAAAACAAAAAAAACTATGACCTCACAGTCCCTTTTCCTAGGAGAGAGCGCTCTGGCGGAGGATGCTGCTGAGGGGAACCAGCTTTCAGGGGCTGCCTGGCACTTCCTGTCCCTGTTCACATGAACAAGGACTCAAGGCACAGGTGAGGGCTTCGAAACCCTTCAAATTCCTTAAAATTAAAAGTAGTAAAAAAGTAAACAATGCCTAAATTCCTACTCTAATTTAGAAAACATTAAAAATGTTTCCAGGTAAGAAGCCGTGGTGTGACGGCTGTGGTGAGCTGCCAAGCCTCCTGGAGTGGCAGCCCACGGGAAACAGCAGCTTTTTTATGCCACCTACATGGGCAGCAATGTGACCCTTGCATAAAATCTCAGTTATCACTGAGAGTGCCTGCATTCTTACACAGCCCCTGTATACATGTTAACTCCTTTTCCCGCTGAGCATATGACACTTGTTATGACTTAGACTGTCTGAGGGGCTAGGAGAAAACCCTGTGTAAGGAACTCCTGCTTTTAATCCAGTGGCCCGAAGCATGGTAAGGTGGAGAGGCAAAGTCTCACGCTCTATAAAGCACCCTGCGCAGCCTCACAGACGCCAGGCAGACAGCAGATGCTGGAGATTGATCAGAAGATGGTAAATCTCCAGTGGAAAACTCAACTCTGGGAGTAGGCAGAAGAAGGCCAGATGGATAGTAAAATCATTACAGCTTCTTCTGCAGATCAATCGCTACACTGCAGGGCTACTCAGAGGCTGCTGCTAAAATACAACAGAAGGCAAGTCTGGCTAGACCACTATTTTCTTTGGGCAAAGACAAAGTGGGGCTCAGTCTTGGCAGCTTATTCCAATCATTGTTTTAGAAACTTATAAAGGAAGTTTATAAACTTTCCTGAGTAAGATATTCAGAATTCCTAGAAATGCTAATTGCATGTTACTTTTTAAAAAATACATGAAATTGCTAGCCAACAGGAATTTAAGTGTAATTTTACTTTTGTTTTGTCTTTATTCAAAATGAAAAGCAAAATAATGGTATGGTACTAAAAAACAACAACAACAAGCCCGAGCGTGCTCCTCGGCGCAGCACCAAAGCCCGTGACTTCCTCGTCCCCCGGTCCCAGACCTGGCCTCACGGCCACACGTGGTCACGACAGCCCCGTATCACTATCCTACCAGGGCCACAAACGCCAACTTCCCAGGCTTCACGTCAAGGTCCTGCCCTCCGTTCTGAAGAGTAAACAAGCCCAGGCCACCCCAGGCCAGCACTGGACCTCCCAGCACACGATCACGCCTGCTCCGCTCCATGAGTGTCCACGGGGCAGTGCCTACCGAAGCCGCTTCCTTCCCTCTGTCCACGGCCACTGTCCTGGCAGAGAGGCCCCTCATCTCTACTCTCCAGTGAGCTGCAGCTCCCTGCTCTCCACACTCACCCAGTCACGTCTCAAACCCCAGGGATTACGACCATACAAACCCTTTGGGGAACAGTGAAGTGCAACTAAGTCTAACTGCTGACTGTTTCGGTTCTCGGCCTTCATAGATACCACGGCAGAGAAACATGTATCCCAGTGCTGAACTGACTCATGGAAGGAGTGCTACATTTACTCAATCAGAAGACCCGTTTTTTAAGCCCAACTAATGATTTAGTATTTGTTTCCATTCCCTGAATGCTTACTTTTTCTAGGCTTGCTTGGGTTTCATTCTATCATTAGCTAATATCTCAAGCACAATATATACTTAGACATGATTCACAAATTTTAAAAAATTGATTTGTAGGCTTATATCCACAAGTATGGATCAAGCTATCCTCTTGATAATGTCCAAACATTCAGGCCAACACCTTGTCAGGTATGATTACCTGCTTGCAGGTATGATACCTCTTTGACTACCAAAGAGCTCTAACTAAGAATAAAAGCAGTGGTGGCGAACTCATGGCATGTGGTGTTTTTCTTGTAAGAAAAAAGCCATTAATGGATGAGTTGTTTTTCCCAAACTAAAAACCTCAGTATTCAGGTTCACTTACAATGTTAGCACTTTGCAATAAATAAGTGGGTTTTGGGTTGTAGTTTGGGCACTCCTCTCTGAAAGGTTTGCCATCACTGGAATAAAAGTATCAGCTAAGTTATTTATCCTCACCGACGCTATTAAAATCATATTGAAAGAAGTTTTCAAGCCACCGTCCTTTTTGTTTTTGTTTTTAGCACTTTAAGGTTCAAAACAAAAGGCAGAGAGGAAGGTACAGATTTGTCATTCACCTCTCCCATACATGCACTGTATGACTGGTTAATCTCCAAAGGAGAGTTTGACAGGGGTGACACGAATTGCCATGGACTAGAGGCTATGTGCCCTGAGCAAAGAGCCAAGGGGGACTAGAGAGGGAACACAGGAGGGTACCAGGGGTGGGACAACACAGCAAATGGCCCTTGCTAGGAATGTGGGTCCTCTTTCATAGAGGACCAGCAGTATCACTTCTAGTTGCTCAATAAACAAACAGTAAGTGAACAAAAGTAAGTACCAATAAATGGTGACAGGTATCAGGAATGAGGTAGAGATTCCCACACTCATCACTCCTATTCAATACAGACCTGGACATCTTTGCCAGAGCTATTAGTTAGACAAGGGAAGGAACAGAATGGATACAAATAGGAAAGGAAGAAACCCTTCTTTTTGTGGTGTTTGTTTTTTGGTACTGGGGATTGAGCTTGGACCCTTGAACTTACAAGGCAGGAGGCAGAACCCCCTGGGCCAAATCCCTGGCCCCAAAGCCATGTGATTCTGGACAAAGGAGAAAAAAATACAGGTTAGACTGGATACCACCTGGCAGAAGACTGAAACTAGACTCTATCTCTTACCTCACACAAAAATTGATTCAAAATGTATCAAAGACCTAGGTATAAGACCTGAAACTTCTGCTCAAAGAAAACAGCGGAAACAGGCAAAGACTTTCTGAAAAGGATTCTACCAGCACAGGAAATGACAACAAGAATCACTTGATGGGGACTACATCAAATTTAAGGGAAACAACTAACAGAGTGAAAAGAGCCTACAGAACAGGAGAAAACCTTTGCTAGTCACTTCCAACAGAGGACTGATATCTCAAAAAATACCAAAATATCAAATAGCCCAATCAATAGATAAACAGGCAAATGAACCGAACAGATGCCTCTCAAAAGAAGTAAAAAGGGCCAATAAGTATACATCTTTAGCATTAGGTAAATGCAAATCAAAACTATACTGAGGTTCTATCTCACCCCAGTCAGAATGGCCATCACCAAAAATACAAAAAACAAAGCTGAGTGTGGTGGCGCACACCTGTAATCCCAGGCCAGGAAACTGAGGCAGGAGGATCACTGAGAGTTTGAGGCCAGCCTGGGCTCCATAGTGAGTTCAAGGTCAGGGAGACCCTGTCTCAAAAACAAACAAACCACCAAAAAAAACAGTACAAAAAAACAATAAATGCTGGTAAGGATGCAGGGAAGATGGGCTTCTACACTTCTACACTGCTGGTGGGAATGTAAGTTAGTATGGCCACTATGAAAATCAGTATAGAAGCTCCTCAGAAAATGACAAAGTTTCCATTTGTCCAGCTACAGCCCTCTCTGCTATGTACCCGGAAGAACTGAGGTCAGCCTACTACAGGGACACCCGAGTGTCCACGTTTACTATGGTCCAATTCATCACAGCCACGACATGGAAACAGCTCAGGTCGGCTGTGGCAAAGCTACAGAGCGTGTGCCGCAATGGACAGGCAGAGCCCTCTCCAGCGCACAAGAGCCAGGTTGCCCCAGCAGCCAGGCATCAGATAAGAGTTTTTTCCAAACTAAAACCTCAGTATTCAGGTTTAATCGAAGTATTGGCACTTGGCCATAAACAAGTGGGTTTTGGGTTTCAGTTTGGGCACTCGGTCTCTAAACATTTCACCATCACAGCTAAGGTTCCCATCCACAGAATAATGAATAAAGAAAATGTGACACACACACACACACACACACACACACACCCTGGAATATTATTCAGCCATAAAGAACAAAATTTTGTCATTTACAGGAGAAAAGATGGATCTGAAGATCGTTATGTTGAGTGAAATAAGCCAGATTCATAACGAGAAATATCACGTGTTCTATTATGTGGAATCTAAAGATGACATAAAAGCAGAAGGGAGACTATTAGTAGGCAGGAGGAAGGGAACAAGGAAAGGAGAGTGTGAAGGACAATAATGGGGACAGATATCATCAAAACACTTTACACGCACCAAAACTCAGTATGTGGTAAAATTTTGTTTTATTTTGTTTTTAAAACAGGGTCTCAGTTGAGTCTGACCTGGAACTCACTCTGTAGCCCAGGCTGGTATCGAACTCACAGCGATCCTCCTGCCTCAGCCTCCTGAGTGCTGGGATTACAGGTGTGCACCACCACGCCTGGCTATAGTATTTGGTAAAATTAACAGGCTTTAATAATAAAAGAGAAAATAAGCAAATTACAAAAGTTGTACTTAAAAATGGTAGAAAATAGCAAAGAAGGTATTTTTGAATTTGTTATTTTACCATAAGAAGAAAGATAACAGTCATGATCTTACCTTTCCATCAAAGAAATGGTGGTTAAACATGTTATAGCGGCAAAAGCCATCCTCCATATAAAACTGCGAATACCTGTAAAATAATTAATCATGGAGTCACTTGACCAACCCCAGCCACAGAGAGTAAGCAAATGTAAACTATACAACCACACTTTAATATGTTTCATCATTCAATAGTTTTTTTAAATTAATAGTTTGCAAAAATTTCAAGACTCTGTAGCAGTGAATAATGAGCGTAAATGATTTTTTAAGTTTGGTAAACAGGAAGCAAAACTATTGATTACTCATCTATAAATCACACCTGTCCCTACAAAGGCCAAGATGAACAGTGAGTTACTGGCAGATTATTATGCAATTTAACCTTGCAGAGGGCTGGCAATTAAAATGTCTCTCATGGTTAATAATTTTAAGGAAAATCCTAAATCAACATTTCTGCTGGACAGCTGTTAATTATTTTCTTCCGTGATTAATTTTAAAAAAGTATTTAATGCAAAGGTTTTTTTTTTAAATGAAGACTAGTTTATTAAAATATGTTTCTCAATAGAAGAAAAATAAGTATGAGCATTTCATATTTACTGAATTAGTCAATGAGGGTTATTTAATTACTAAATGAATTATTTTATTTTTCTAACATACTACTTTAAAATGTCATCAGCAATGAATAAGAGTAGCAGTGTTGGATATTAACTAAGCAAAACTCATACCATATTACAGTTTACATTTGTATATATTTGATTATTTATAAGATTGACTTTTCTATATTCCTTAGTTGCAGCAGTACTGTCTGTTTTCCCTATTTATCTAGCTGGGTTTTAAAGTCTTTCTTGCTGATCTCTGAGTTTTCCACACAGTACAGAAACTTTTATTATCTCCACAGAATTGTGAACTTTGGCTACTGTATTATAAATAATTCACATATGAATCACATCAGTGTTCTTGGAATTTATTATTTTTATTTCTAATTAATTTTATTGGTACATTTAAGGTATACAATGTAATGACATTCATCATTGAAAATTTGCACCATTACATAATCCATCTTGGTTCTTATTTTTCCCCCTCCCCCCGCCCCCCCCTCAACCCCTCTACCCTTCCCTATCTACAAAGACTTTATTTACATTTTTTTTTCATGTTAGTTCCATTGTTTTTGGAATTTATAACCCAGAAAGGCTGAATATGGACACACACACACACACACACACCCTTACAGACATGGTTTCTGGAACCCAAATCATGATGGCAGCTCTTTTCTATTTATACCGCCACTCTCCATGGTCCCCTTCTGGGACATAACTGACAGGTCACCCTGGCATAAATACACAAACAGCTTTGGCTCTCCTCATCTGCTTACAGTGCAGTTAAGAGAACAGGCTCTATGTTAAACTATGGGCCCCTCACTTAGGTAATGCCTAGTTTAATAAGCCACTTAACCTCTAAACCTCAGTTTGTTCATCTGTAAAATGGGAAAAGTAGTTTCTCATAGGAATTCATAGAATAAATGAAATAAAACATGTAAAGCGCTTTATGCAAGGCCAGCAATAAAGCACATACTAAAATGTTGTCGATTGTTTTAATAAATTCAGCCATAAAGATTTGTGTCAGTGCTTCCAGTATTAGAGAATTGTTTATATTTACCAAAACAGAATTTAAACCTATTTCCTCTTGTTCTGTGGAGAAGAAAGAACAGCTGTTCATTATTCTTACTACAGTATCTTTGAATATCATTTAAGATACTGGTAGCACATCTGTTAATGTCCTAAAACATTGATTTGCCCTAAAGAAATGAGCAAAAGGCTTGGATAACTGAAAAATACTTAAACCACATATTGTAACCTAATGAATATTCCAAAAGCTGTAGAACAAATATGTCTCCCTATTTAACTAAATTTCAAATAACTAATTTTTTAAAAGTACATCAATACCAGTACAGCTGTGGGCCAACTATCAGTTTTTCTCTCTTGCATTACTTTATGAAAAAGAGCAAAGGAAAACATAGTCCTATTAGTTTAACCTCCACTTTTTTCATAGTTCCACAAAGGCACAAGGGTCACTTTGGAAAAATTGAAAAAGAAAATTTGATTTGCATAAAATTCAGCATAGTACACCTGTCCAAAACATGAGAGAAAACAGCCAAGATCTTACTTCGAAGTCCCCTTCAAATACAAACAAGGGAGCATAATTATTCATATTTTACATTACGAAAAACACTCAATATTGCCTTCTTAAAATGAAATTGGCTACAAAGAATTATTCTCTCCATTGACTAAGGCAAGCGAAACCAATCAGAAAAGCGTGCACTTAAAAACTGCTCAAAAGGACATTCATTTAATTTGGCCATTCATTCTCTTTAAATGAGAGTCAGTTACCAAGTGTGAAACATGCTCTATCCACAGGAAATGTAATCAAGGGCTGAATAAAATTAGTTCTTAAAATGAACCTAAGAAATTCATTTTTTGATATAACTTTATTTGGATTAATAGTTTGCCAAATAGAGTTTCACATCTTTCATGCTAAAATTAGAGCCTATAGAAATCCATCTTAGCAAATGTGAACTTCGCATCGCATTGCATCCCCCAAAATGGGTATTTATAGCACATCTGCACAGCACAATGGAGCTGAGGCAGTTCTGCTGCCTCAGAGAGACCTCTAACAGGGCAATGAGAAACCAACAGCAGTGTGCAGAGTAGCTGCTCACTGCCACGTATGCCACATAAGAAATTTTTCCCTGACTCAGATGTGGTCTCTTGAGAAAAGAGAACCAACCAATCCTAATACCAACCATCATACTCTAAATACAGGCAACAGGGGCGGGGGATTTAGCTCAGCGGTTCAGTGGCCTGCCTTGCAAGCGCAAGGACCCGAGTTCAATCCCCGGTACCAAAAAACAAACAAACAAACAAACCAAAAAACCCAAACAAATAAATACAGGCAACGGCCCAAGCTTAATTTGCCTGCGCATGTGTTTCCATAGCCGCTCTCTCTCAACACCTGATGTTGAGCTTCTACAATTCTGACACGGTGAGACTATGTTACTAAAGAAACCAAGGTATGATGTCCTCAACAGAACAACATCCATTGTCTGCAGCAAACGAAGAAGTTCACAGTTGTGGAAAGAAAATAAGTCTTCATCATACACAGTAGTCCCTTACTATCCATGGAGGATACACTCCCAGAGCCCTAGAAAGTAGAGAAGACCTAAACAAATGGAAAACTATCTCGTCTTCAAGAACTGGGAGACAACACTAAGATGGCAAAAGTCCCCAAACTGATGTATAAATCCAATGCAACCTGTAAGAATCTCAGCTGGCTTTTTTGTAGTAACTGATAAACTGACCCTAAAATTCATTACCAAAAAATAAAAATGGATCAAAGGCCTATACATAAGAGCAAAAATTATAAAATTCTTATGAAAAAATAGAATATTTATAACCTTGGGTTGGGTGATCGCTTCTTAGATATGACATCGAAAATACACACATCCAAAAGAAAAGAGAAAAACTGGACTGTCCCGGCCCTGGACTTCATTAAAAGTGAAAAGACAGTCCACAGAATGGGAGAAAATATTTTGCAAATCATGTATCTGATAAAGGTCTAGCATTTAGAATATATTAAGAATTCTCTAGGGGTCAGGGATTTAGTTCAGTGAAAAGACGTCTGCCTCGTAAGTGCAAGATCCTGACTTCGAGCCCCAGTACCAGGAAAAAAAAAAAAGAATTCTCTCAGTTCAACAATAAAAAAGCCTGGTGAGGGCCAGGGATTTATCTCAGTGGTGCCTGCCCCATCAGCGTGAGGGTCCTGAGTCCAATCCCCCGTACAAAAAAAGGAAAAAAGCCTGGTGTGGTGGCACGTGCCTACCATCCCAGTATTTGAGAGGCTGAAGCAGGAGGACTGCCACAAATCTGAGTCCAGCTGGGGCTACACAGTGAATTCAAAGACAGTCTGAACTATACATAGCAAGATAAGAAAGAAAAAAGGCAGGTAAGCAAGAAAGCAAGCAAAAAAATGACAGCCATTTAAAAAAATAGGTAAAGTATTGAATAAACATTTCTCCAAAAAGGTAAAGAAATGGCCCAAAGGCACATGAAAAGATCTCGACATCATTACCCATCAGGAAAATCCAAAGCAAAACCACAATGACCTATTGTTTCAAAGCAAGACACAACAGTAAATGTTTGAAAGGACATGGAGAAAACTGAACCTCATCCATTCCTGGTGGGAATACAATGTGGTGCGGCCCTCTTGGGAAACTGTGTGGTAGTTTATCAAAAGCACAGTGTCACCATGGGCCAAAGTCCACCTCTAGTTCTGCCTGTGGTGGGCAGGACTGGGTCCCCTCAGGACCTGTACGCTGAAGTCCTAACGCCCAGCACTTCAGAATGTGACCATTTGGAGGCAGAGCCTTTAGAGAGATGATTAAAGTAAAATGTGGCTGTGTTAGGCTCTACTACAATGTGACTGGTGTGACAAAACATGGCCAAAGGCATCAGGGAAGTGTGCGTGTGCACAAAGGCTCCTGTGTGGAGACACAGACACAGAAAGCAAAGGAGAGAGGCTGGAAGAGAAACCAGACCTCTGACACCTTCACCTGAGACCACCAGCCCCAGATCTGTGAGAGTAGAAGCCGCTGTCTCAGCCACGCAGCCTTGGCATTCTGTCCCAGCAATCCTAGGGAACTAGCACAGTACTCAAGCGATCTGAAAACATTCTATTTTACACAAACATAAAAATTATATACAAATGCTCATGGCAGCACTGTTCACAGCAGTCAGAAAGTAGAAGTGGGACTGGGGACTTAGCTCAGTGGCACTGCCTCACAAGCACAAGGTCCTGAGTTTGATCCCTGGTACCACAAAAAAACAAAGTAGAAGTAACCAAATGTCTATTAATGCATGTTTTAGTCAGCTTTGCATCACTTCAATGGCGTAGCTGAGGCACTAAGAGAAAAGTCTTAGTCAGCTCACAGTTTAGGAGGCTGAGTCCATGCCCGATCAGCAGCCTCCTCTTGACTGCCACAAGATGGCACAGTTGGCAAAGATAGCTGTGTGTGCAGAGGAAGCAAGTGATTATATCTTGAACCAGAAGCAGACAGACAGGAGATGGGGCCAAGCTAAGGATTTTATAACAATCCTCCCATGAAAACCATCTCCCAAGGGCACAGCCCCACTAAGGACCACCCATGAGCCCCACCTCCAAAGTGGTCCACCACCTCCCAGTAGCTTCACCCCACCGACCAAGCCTTTACCACATGGGCCTTTGGGAGACATCCAACATGGTACAATGCATCACGCACCCGTAAAAAAAAAAGAATGAGGCACAGTGGATATGATCTCAGCTAGTCAAAAAGCTGAGGCAGGAGGATCACAAGTTCAAGGCCAGCCTATTCAAATCAGCAAGACCTTGTCCCAAAAAATAAAAAGGACTGGAGAAGTAGCTCAGTGACAAAATGCATGCCTAGCACACACAAAGCCATGGGTTCAATGTCCAGTACCACAAAAAACTCAAAAATTAAAAAATGATGCGCTGAAATTTGTTACAGCACAGAGGAACCTTGAAAACACCATGCAAAATAAAAGCAGCCAAACACATGTATGATTCCACTTACAAGAAGTATCTAGAATAGGCAAATCTGTAAAACAGAAAGCAGATTAGAGGTTGCTAAAGGCTGAGGTCAGGGGAAACAGGAAGAAACTACTCAGTGAGAGACTTTCTTTTGAAGTGATAAAATGATCTGGATTAAGACCCTGATGATAGTTCTGCAACCCTGTGAGTTACTGAAAACCATTCTTTTGTATGTGTGAAATATAATGTAAAAAATATAGAAGGTTTTTGGGTTGCAGAGTTAAAGATCACCTTCCTTCAAAAAGTAAGATACAGTAAAACAGAGACCCATGCAATTTGAACAAGCTCTGTGAAAGGACATGATATGATTTTTTTGGTGTCTTTCTCATACTTGTGGTTTCTCTTCAGATCATAAAAATCTTTTGCCTTTTACTAAAGTTTCTTTCGTATAAATCATTCTGCAACTATCTTGAGAAAAGCTCATTTTTAATGAAATCAGAATTCTCATATAACTTTCAATATAAATCCGAAGAACTTATGCTATGGGAAAAATAGCACTGTAACACTCGCCTGAAGTAAAAATGCCAAGGGTAGCACAGAGTGCTCTTTACACATGCAGTGCACTGACTCATTCAGGCACAGACTTCTGATTCTTTCTCTTCAGCCCTCGTAACTCCACTCCATCAGTGAGATGCCTCCTGCTGGGGAGACCTAGTTCACGTAGGTGCTCAGGGGCCGGCAAGGGCACTGTATCTGCTGGGCCAGACACTTCTGAGGTAGGCACGTGGGCCCAGCCAAGCTACCTGGGGCACTCCCTGGAGTCCCTCCCACCTCACCCCACAGGCAGGTCAGCTGCAACAAGGTAACAAGGTAAGCTCAACGCTAGGCTTCCCAAGTCTCTGGTAATGTGATGGAAACTGCCTGCAGAAGAAAGCCAACTCACAGGGAGGGATGGAGTGAGAGATAAAGATGGAGCCCTGACAGCACTGCAGAGGCCAGGGGTGAGACCACAGTAAAGCTTGCTGCGCCTGGGCTCCAGCAACAGGGACCAGCACATTCTTCAGGTTGAATGAGTTCTGGGACTACAATAGCTCCTTATCGTAAACATGTAAATAACTGAGAAACCAGCTTTTGGGGTTTTTTTGCTTTGTTTTGTTTGTTTTTTTAGATGGGTTTCACTTGCCTTGAACTATCTTGCCCAGGCTGGCCTCCAACAGGCATGAACCACCACAGCCAGCTGGAAACCAGTTACTGATTCATCAGAAAAGCTCTGCAGAATGAGGCAGGAGGATAAAGTGAGGCAGGGAGAGACTGAAGAATGAAAAGAGAGAAATGGACTATAGAAGAAAAACTTATGAACACGTTTAAAAGCAAAGTTACTTCCTGAAGATAATTTTTGAAGCCAGACTGCCTGTGTTTGAATCATACTTGGCTGCTTAAAACTCTAAGTTATTTGGTTTATTTCACTTCTTTGTATCTGTTTTCTCACTGGGAAATGAGGATGATAATAGCATCTATCTTATAGAGCTACGATAAGGAATGAGTTAGAACAGGGCTTGACATGTGACAAGCACTCCAAAACTCCAGCTCCAGTCAATACTGATGAGATAGGAGTCCAAAGCTAAACTTGTACCTTGAAAATCATGCATTTGTATTAGCAATACACCGTAGGAAAGGACCACAGGATTTTTAAAAGAAACTGATGTAGCCACACAATGGGTCATATAGCCAGCATAAATGGAATGAAGTCTTGTTAGCTGTAGGAGCCTTGAAAACACTAAGCTATCTGGAGCTGCACATCAGTACTGAGCGACACCACTGATAGGAAATGCTCAGACAGGCGAATCCACGGGAGCGGAAAGTGATGCTCAGGGGAGGTAAGAGTGGGGTTTCTCTTCAGTGTGATGGAAATGTTCCTGAAATAAGACTGCAGTGATGGCTACGCAACACAGTGAGCATACATCACAATCACCAAAATGCACACTTCAACATGGCGCACACAGAGTCGTATCTAATTTAAAAAAAAGGAAACTCAGATTTTTTTCTGTTCTTCAGGACTGGAGACAACATGGGAAGTCTGAATCCAGCCCTATTTATCGGTTTGTTTAATTTTCAGCAGGGTCTCAGTCACCCAGGCTGGGTGATCCTCCTGCCTCAGCCTCTCACGTAAGGGGGAGTACAAGTGTGACATCACCCCCTGCAATGGCTCTTTAATAAGAAACCTCTATTATCATCTTGCCAAGGATCACTTGTGTCAAGCAGGTGCCAGTTAACTGAGCAAGTGCTTTTAAGGGAGGGTGGGTGCTTAGCAAGCCAGACCTGTTAGTAAGGAGTGAAAACCTGAGAAATGCTGTTGCTCATAATAGGTGAAATAAAGTTGACTTGGAAATATAAAGATATATAAAGACACACTTCTTAACATTTCGTACTTTAAAAATCTGTTTGTCTGGTTTTTAGGGAAAGAAAGAGTATTTAATTTCACAGATTTTCTCAAGCAAATACTGGAATATTAGCTCAACAGACTATTAGATCTAAATACAAAGAAATACAAAGCCTGATCCCTATCATGCATTCAAAGTCACGTAAATAATACTAAGGACACAGTGTCTCATAAAGTTACAGTGCACTTCTGGAATTTAAACCATTACAGAAGCTAGGAAGAATATTTCAATGCCACAGAATTATAGACAGTAGGTGGAAGATGTGTCATATGTCAGACTCCTGAGGTGTGTATCTATTGCCATGGGATTCTTCTTTTTTGAGACAGGCTCTGGCTGTGTAGCTTAGGCTTGCCTTGAACTCCTGCTAACCCTCCTGCCTCAGCCTCTGGAGTGATGGGATTGTAGGTGAGAGCCAGCACGCCCAGCTGGCCATCAGATTCCTGTACTCTTCACACAGCTTATGTGCAGGAACCCTCTGCCCTGACACCTGCCTTCTCCCTACTGAGCCAGTCCTTTCGCTTCAGGCTGCATCCAGTGAGGGAGTATATACATCTCCTGGGAAAGCATACTTTAAATTCCTCTCACACTTTACAGATCTGATGGTGAAACAAAGTCCTAGAGATCTGACTAAGCACGAGGCAGCTCAGTGTATCTTTAAAATTTCATTCAATGCCAAGGATTTAGCTCAGCGGTTCGGTGGCCTGCCTTGCAAGAGCAAGGACCCGAGTTCAATCCCCGGTACCAAAAAAAAAAAAAATTTCATTACCTGACACCTGCCTTCTCCCTACTGAGCCAGTCCTTTCGCTTCAGGCTGCATCCAGTGAGGGAGTATATACATCTCCTGGGAAAGCATACTTTAAATTCCTCTCACACTTTACAGATCTGATGGTGAAACAAAGTCCTAGAGATCTGACTAAGCACGAGGCAGCTCAGTGTATCTTTAAAATTTCATTCAATGCCAAGGATTTAGCTCAGCGGTTCGGTGGCCTGCCTTGCAAGAGCAAGGACCCGAGTTCAATCCCCGGTACCAAAAAAAAAAAAAAATTCATTCTAAAGGAATTAATTTATCTTCAAGTTACAAGTCACAAGTAGATACAGTACACAGAGAAAAGTTGAGGAAGAGAAATCAACTGCCTCCGTATTTGAAATATGGAAGATTACCTGATGTTTATGCGATTAAAAAGGCGTTTATAACCAATTTCTACTTCTAAATGTTAAAGATCTATGACAGATTATAAACAGTTAAGAGAAAAACAAAAACACAGAACAATGAAGAATATTGTATCTCATTAACCTACCGAAAATCAATATCCAATAAAAGGCTTTTAAGGTTAGACTTCTTGTCACCAGATGCTGTCAACCTGATCAGCTCGTGCAACCTAAGGCAATTAGTAAAAGTAAATTTAATGAGAAATTACAAATGCCATAGACAATAAGCTAACCAACAATAAAACACATCAATGTTCTGCGAGCTCTGATATATCAATGAAACCCTGAAAACAATTTGGCAGGTGTAACCAAGGTTTCGGTTTTGCATATATTTTTAAAAGGGCTGGAACTTATCGGAAGCAGAGGTCTAATGTCATAGACAATTAAGACTCAAAACAGGAAGCATCTCCTCTGGTACACCAGAAAGAAATCTCTTCAATGGAATACAAGCTGCAAATCCCACAAGAGAAGGAGCAGCCTTCTCTTCCTGTGAATTCTCAGCACCTGACACTGTACACTGCACACAGTAAAAAACTACTTGACAAAGTTTACCACCATTTAAACAGCAGTAACAGGAGAATTTTTTTTAAAACTTCAGAACATACCTTGGTGTACCAACACATAGTACCCTTCTGAAGCCCAGGGCAGGGAGGAGGCCAACCAAGAAGTGACAGGTCCTATCTGCAAACAGATACTGGGCATTTGTCTTCTTGTTTTCCAGTGGGTAAAGGAGCTGGCTGGGTCTTCTTAACTGGGTGATAGCAATGTCCCCCACCACCTGATGCTCTCGGTGCTCCCCCCACTCATCTGGTAGCAGCAACTGCTGACAGCTCTGACAGAACTTTCTCTGAGTCAAAGGCAACTCCGTGAACCTCAAGTACCTTCAAGGCAATGAAAGAATAAGGTATTTTAACTTTGTTGGTTTTTTTTTTTTTCAGCTTTAATTGAGTTTATTGGTACATTTTAGGGATACAGTACAGTTAGGTTCATTGTTGGGATCTTGTACCTCTACATAACAAGTCTTGATTCTCATTTTTTCCCCTTACCCCTGCCCTCCCTTCACCCCCTAACTTTGTTGTTTTAACAATAGTGTATCTTTGCTATTTTTAGTACCCACAAAGTAGTCATACCTCCTAAAGGGTACTGCATAAAGAAGCAAAGGTAAGAAAAATCTGTAGGATGTTGTCTAGAATTTATGTCTGGCTATATAACTGCAAAGTGGAAAAGAATCAGCAATTTCATAATAATTGAGATGCTTCAATTTAGTCACTGAATGAAGATCAATATCCACTTAAAATGTGAATATAATATATTACTCAAACAAGTTAGTAGTAATGACAACTACTACCACATTCAAATTTATTGACAAACCCATGTGTTCCGACTCTGAAGTGTTAAACAGTCTGGCTCGGTCGACAGACATTTTAAAATGAGAAATTAGGATCATTCTCCAAGTTCTTATGGCATACTTAGCAAGAAAAATTACCTACTAAAAGGAAGGATGTTCCTACTGAGCGCCTCTGCTCCCAGCCAAACTGACAGAGGCTGATGTGAGTTCACCACCAAAAGCCAGGACAACATTCCCAGCCATGAAGCACTATGTCAGATCTCTCGCTTGGTTTCTTTAAGTCATCCTGACACCTCATCTCAAAGCCACTATTTCTCTTTTTTCACTTTATTAGAGTTTTTGCTTTGTTTTATTTATTTATTTATTTATTTAGACATAAGGTCTTGCTATATATGGGGACATAGCTCAGCATGAAGGTCCTGGGTTAATTGCAGTAAACAAACAAAAAAACCACTTCATTTTATATAACACCAGCTGTGGAATCAGAGTAAGACCAAAAAAAAAAAGAGCGAAAGAAGAAATCAGAGTAAGAAGAGAAAAGTAAGAATAAATTCAATGAGGATCAAAATGTCTAAATCCCAAGCAGCTTTTGTTGTTGTTGTTGATTTATTTTGTTTTCATTTGTAGTACTGGGGATCGAACCTGTGGTGCTTTACTACTGAGCTACCTCCCCATCTCTTTTTGAGATACTATCTCGATAGCTGCCCTTGAATTTGCAATCTTCCTGCCTCAGCCTCCTAAGTAGCTAAGATTCCAGGTGGGTACCACCATCTCCAGCTTAAATCGAAGCATGCTGAATAGTGTACTAGAGATTCCTAGAGTCTGACAAGTGTTCAATGTTTCAATGAAAAAAAATTGTGAAATGCAATATCAAAACTGTAAACTTAACAAGGAATCAAGTGGAGCATTAATACTTTTTCTATCTAAGCACAGTTTCACTTCAAAGCACTCAAGGCTGTGACAAATAAGATAATCTAAGTGGCTACTGCAAGAAAGCAGCTACAGACCCAGTAACTTAAGCATTTCTATTTCTATAATGATTGATCCTTTGACAACTTTATCCAAATCTAAAAAGATAGAGAAGAGGGATACTAGAAGGAACTTCCCAGTAATGCAAAGAAAGAGTGCCAGGAGAACAAAGGACCCCTAAGACATGGAACGCAAGTGGGAAGAATCAACAGACACTTCAGCAACCAAAACACTGAATTTGCTATGATTCCTATTATCACTAAATGTTAAGTACTGAAGATTTCTACAGCCAGCCTGGACAGAGTCACAGAGGCCAAATTTACCCTCCTGATCTTCAAAATAATTTTTAAACAAACAAACAAAAAAAATACATGAAACAACACTTTGAAGACAATGGACAACTGGTCACCCAAGACAGTGACCCACCCCAGGGCAGGGGCAAGGCAAAGTCCCATGTAGATGGGAAGGAGCCCACAGCACCTGGGGCGGGGACACACACAAGCTCAGCAGACTGACGAGACCCAACGGTGGAAGGGGAACCTGGGCAAAGGCCTAGCAAGCGCGCCCAGAGTACAAGGAGGGCAGAATCACGCATATCAAAGAGAAGGACGGGGTGAGAGGGGGGCACCCCAAGATCTGCCACGATTCCCTCATGTGAACACAGGCGGCTCTGTCCTGCCTATAGAGCGGCAAGCTAAGCTGCACACATTTCTTCTCAGGGGTCTAAGAGCCTGCTAGGCCGTGCGGGCTCCATCACAATGACCGTGGTAGCACAAAAAGAACCACAGAGCCAGAGTTGGCCCATAGGTGGAGCTTTGCCAGAATCTGCTCAACATCAAAGCCATAGCCAAATTGGGCATGGTGGTGCACATCTGTAATTTCAGCTCTCAGTAAGTTGAGGCAGGAGGATCACTGTGACTTCGAGATGAGCCTGGGCTACACAGTGAGTTTCAGGTCAGTCTCAACTACATAGTGAGACCTGTCTCAGACAAACAAACAAAAAAACTATAGCCAAGTACCTGAACAGGGTCCCAGAGCCAAGCTCAAAATATGCAAAAGAACACCATCTAGTACAGAACAAAGTAAAATTCAAGTTGCCAGCATCCAATCATATACTTATTACCAGGTAGGCAAAGAAACAGTAAAACATGACCATGATGACAAGAAAACCCCAAACCAACTAAAAATGACAAGGGAAGATGATATAATGAGTAAAGAAAGACATTAAAGCCACTTCTTATTATAAGTGTAATCCATGTGTTCATGATAGAAGAACAATGCGTGTGGCACACATCTGTAATTCCAGCCACTCCAGAGGCTAGGCAGGAGGATCCCAAGTTTGAACCCAGCCTGAATAACTTAATAAGGCCCTGTCTCAAAATTAAAAAAAAAAAGCTGTGGATGCAGCTGAGTGCGGTTCAATAAGGAGGGGATGGGAGGGAAAAAGACAGGAAGAAAAGGAGGAGCTGAAAGAGAAGAAAGAAGGAGGGGGGCAATGGTGATGAGGAGGACTATGAGGCTGAGGAAGACAAGGAGAAGAAGCATGAACCTGTGAGGTAAAAGACATGGCAGGCTGGGGTAGAGGTCACCGACAAGACTGTGCTTACGCAAGCCTTGGGTCCAGTCCTGGAGGGGTGGGCAGGGGGAATATGCAAGAAAAAGATGCCTCACCTATACAGATTTTTTTAAATTGCCTGAGATGAAAACCACCAGACAGGATTAAGAGCAGTTTAGAGACTACAGAAATGATCTATCAACCTGAAGGCATCGTCTCAAAAGCTACCCAAAGTGAAACATCAAGGCTTCAATATGTATGACTGGGGCGCCCTAAATGGGGGAGAGGGACAGAAAATCTTTTGACCATAATGAAGAAATTTTTCAGAATTACATCAGAAAATTTAAGAAGCTCAGAGAACCACAAGTACAAGAAATATGAGAGAAAACTCCCAGACACATTATAAAGTTTTTCAAAGTCAGGGATAAACACAAAGCTGGGGATATAGCTCAGCGGCACCATGCCTGCCTGGCAAGCGAAAGGTCCTGAGTTGAATCCTCGGTACCAGAAAAAAAGAAAAAAAGGAAAATCTGGGCTGAGCATGGTGGTAGGCTATATAGCAAGACCCCGTCTCAAAATGTAAAAAAAAAAGGTAAGAATGATATCATCAGGTTTCCCAGTGAAAACAATACAAGAAGAGTAACTGCAAAGCAATACCACATCTACGTCAGTTCTCACAGCAACCTAAAAAGGAGTGGATAATTCCTGATTCACTTTATGTTACTAAAGACAGAAAGTGGAAAAGAAAAAAAAAAGATTACGAGAAAACTATGCATCTATGTACCTCATAAACACAAACTAAATAGTAAAACAAAACCAGCAACACATTAAAAGATGCACTGTGCCATGACCAACTCTACTTTATCTTAGGAATGCAGGCTGCTTTAATGCCTCAAATCAACCAATGGGTTCACCATATCATAGTCTTAAAAATAGCCATCCTACCTGATGCAGAAAAAACATGACAAAATCAAGCATCCAACAATAATAAAGATTCTTAAAACACTGGTCTAGTTTGATAAAGGTCACTAAGAAAAACCTGTGGCTAGCAGCATACTGATAAAAGACTGTCCCCTAAAATGCAAACAAAGAAACGATGTCTACTTGTACTATCTTAATATAAACCAGGGCTCCTGGCCAGCTCAGTGAGACAAAATAAAGAAACAAGAGGCATAGAAATAATAGTATGGAAATAATAGTAAACTTATCATGATTTTAAAATTAAAAAAATCAATACACCGAACCAACTGTATTGTTACAGACCAGCAACAATCAGAAACTCAAATTTAAAAAGAACAAGATTTGAAATACCATTAAAGATATGAAATACTTGATAGGGATGTAGCTCAGTGGCACAGAACCTGCTTGGCAAATGCGAGGTCCTGAGTTCAAGCCCCAGCACAGAAAAAAAGGCAATACTTAATAGTTAAGCAGAGTAGCATATGCCTGATTCTAGCACTCTGGCAGCCTAAGGCAGAAGGATCAGAAGATTGTCCTTAGACTGCTCAATTTAGCAACTCAGCAAGATTCTACCTCAAAATAAAAAATAAAAGAGGGGCTAGGGCCGGGAATTTAGCTCAGTGGTGCCACTGCCTGCCTCACAAGCACAAGGCCCTGAGTTCAATCTCCAGACCTCAAAAATAAAAAAATTAAAAAAGTACCACATCAAAAAGAATAATAAAATACATGCTTTGATACTGATACAAAAAACAACTCCTGGGCCTGGTGGTGCATGCCTATAACCCCAGATACACAGGGGACCGAGGCAGGAGGATCACAAGTTTTGGGTCAGCCTGAACACGGCAAAACTCTGACTCAAGATTTTTTTTTCTTTGTTTCTTTTGAGACAGGGTCTCACTATTTAGTTGAGACTGAACTGGAACTCACTATGTTCAAGACCCAGGTTGGTCTTGAACTCACAGCAATCCTCCCGCCTCAGCCTGCCGAGTGCTGGGACTATAGGCGTACACCACCATGCCCGGCTCAAGATTTTTTAAAATGTTTAAAAG